CCCTCCCCTTTTTCGTCGCCTGAGACAACAACAAAAACAGATCTAAGAAGGATGGACGAAGGAGACGAGTACAACGACAACGTATAAGGAGATTCGAAGTTTGATTTCGGATTCAAAGCCTACTGATTTTCGTTCCATAGTTTCTCTCGCTTTTCTGCTTTCGATTCTAAAAGCCATGGAATCCGATGGAGCTTTGATTGAGGCTTGATACGCCGTTGATTTGAGGGTTGTCGTTTGTGGTGGAAGTTCGTGGTTTCTGCTGGTTTTTAGCCGCTGATTTCGCTCGAATTTAGAGTCGAAACTTGGTACTCGACAATTCTTCTACCAATATTAAGGAAGTCTTTGTTTAAACAGGTTCTTCTCATCATTAATTCATCTTCTTCCATTTTCAGGTTGTGAATATAGGTACCCAAGAGCTAGGTTAAGATGAGTTTTCTTTTACATGTGTTTATGTGGTGATATAATTGTTATGGTGCATTTATGAGTTAATTTCCAGTCGTTTGATTTTTCCGAATCTGATTTCCCTCGGTTTAATTAGCTTCTTGTATTCTATCACTGTTGGTATAATACAATGTAAAAATGTTAAGGGAAGATGTTGAGTCAACAGTCAACAACACATCTGATTCTTCTTGGCTTAAGTAAACTTCGATAATGTTGAGTCACGAACCATAGAAATTTGTTATAAGTCGTTCACTAACTTATTGAAAAACATAGAGTGCAATTGATCTTTTCTTGAAGGATAAACTTGTTTTTTTAGTTATGATGGCATACGTTTACATGATCTTTAAGATTTCCAAGGAGTAATAGAACATCCCAATGTCCAAAATCACGAAAGCCCGTATGAGAATAACCTTGAATTTAGTAGTTCGTTTTAGGCACATAATTAAATCATCACAACTGCGGGTATGGTTCCCATGGCGTAGTCGTAGCACTTAATTTCAAATTAGTTAATTGCTTTTCCTTTAATAAAATTGAGGTGTGCTATCCAATCACTTAGTCTATGGCCATCACATCGATATCTTAATTAGTGTAGAAAATGCCTTGAACTCTCGTAGTTTGCTTTATGCGTGTTTAATTATATAAATTGTCATAGCTACGAGTACGATTCCCGTGACGTAGTTGTGATGCTTTAATTTCTAAAATCCGGGGGTACATTTATGTGACCCGGCCACAATTCAATCTTGTTTATAAAATAAACATGTTGTGGATCGTGGGTATGGTTCCCGTGACACGATTCGTGACGTGTAACTAAATAATTAGTTGTATAACAATTGGATTATTAAAATCGGGTAAAAAGGAATAAAATGTACATAGGTTTCAAAGATGTTTTAAAATCAAATAAATAGGCCAATAATAACAGTTGAGCGACCGTGCTAAAACCACAGAACTCGGGAATGCCTAACACCTTCTCTCGGGTTAACAAAATTCCTTATCCGGTTTTTTTTGTTCGCGGACTGTAAAACAGAGTCAATCTTTCCTCGATTCGGGATTTAAACCGGTGACTTGGGACACCATAAATTATCCCTCTAAATTTTAAATAAAATAATCTCGTTTCGATTGTCACTTAAATTGGAAAGAACTCCCTTATATACCCTACCGGGGGTAGTAAAAAGGAGGTGTGACATCAACTTGATGCTCTACTCAGTGTTCAAAACTTTGAGAATTGGGCAACCAAGACCCACATCCATGAGGTTGCAAATGGCGGATCGTACTATGAATAGACCATTGGGTATTATTGATGATGTGTTGGTTCGTGTTGACAAGTTCATCCTCCCGACGGACTTTGTTATTCTTGATTGCGAAGTAGACTATAAGGTGCCTATTATTTTGGGTAGACTTTTCCTTGCTACAGAGAAGGGTCTTGCTGATGTGAAATCCGGTGAGCTCATTTTTCGGGTGGGTGATGAAAAGGCGGTCTTCCATGTGTGCAAATCTATGAGGCAACCGAATAACAATGATGTTTGTTCGTTCGTAGATTTGGTGATCGATGTGATTATTGATGATGCTAGTGCCATAATGAATGTTGAGGATAATTTGGAAGTTGTTTTGCTCAACCTTGATGATGATAAGGACAAAGAAGGCTATGTGGAGTATGTGAATGCATAGCAAGGAATAGGGTTGTACACTTATGAGCCCCCAAGCTATCTTTGGATCTTGAAAATAGGAAGACTCCTCCAACAAAGCTCTCAATCGAGGAGCCTCCTACTAATAAGTCGGTATTTTACCAACTTATCTCTTCTTAATACTTAGGCTTTTGTATGATTTTGATGATAAACTAAGGCATTTTATGAGGTTTATTGGCATATTTCAAGTATCATATAATTTGTAGAAGATACGGAAGGGAACAAGTCAAAATGTGTTAAATTGGAATAAATGGACTGCTGTCAGTTATTGCTCTATGCGATCGCGGAGTGTTAGATGCGATCGCATAAGTCTAGAATAAGGAAGCTATGCGAACGCGATTTAGTCCATGTGAACGTGTAGAGTTAAAGTTGGCCAGCATTGGTCAACTACACTATGATAACGCGCAGAAGCTGCTGACCACGATCGCGGTTCTCTCTGTGCGATCGCATAGAACATTTTCTGGGCAGTTCTGGGCGGAAATGAAATTTCACATTTTTGATCCCCAAATGATTTAATACACGACTTAGCTCATTTGTAAAGGATCTTTGGCTTATTTTCAGTCCTTAGACTAGAGAAGAACAAGTTTTGGAAGCTAGGGTTCTTGCACACACACTTGGGTCTTGAAGATTTGAAGCTTTTGGTTGAGAATTGCTTACCCACTCATGTTCATTTCTTCATTTTCTTGCTTTGTATTATTTATCTGAGTGTGTACTATGTTTTCCAACACTTGAATCTTGTTTATGAGAATATTTATTTTTAAAGTATGGATTAAATAGCTTGTTGTGCTTATGTATTGAACGATTTTTATCTTTTATGAAGTGAGTTATTATTTCTTTAATTATTCTTGTTGTTTAATGTTTCCAAAAGGATTAGCTAACCCTATGAATCGCCCATTAACTTCGAATTAATTTTGAGAAAGATTATTTGGGGTTGAGAAAGATTAATTAATAAGAACTTGAGGCTTTAACCCTCAATTTATAGATTCTACCAAGGGATAGGATTGAACTACTCGTAGCCATAATCAAGTGTGCTTAATATCCTAATTGTTTTAGGGATAATTCAACTAGAAAGTCTTGTTAGTCTTTGGAAGAAGCTAATATAGAATTATTATCCAAGGCTAATTAACATAAACTCACTCATATTTGTAAAACCGTGAAATACATTGGATCGTTATTTGAGTGTAATTCCCCGTGTATCCATACTTATAGCCATTGATCATTTTACTTGCTTTCTAGGTTAGTTTACATTTTTGCATTTAGCTATAATATTTTCACAATCACCCTTTTTAGAGATTGACATTGCATAACAAGTGATAATTTTCTTACACTCCTAATCGTCTACATATTGTTCTCTGAGGGATTCGACCCCGACTCATAGTTGGGTAAATTATATTGCATGTGATAGTGTCCATTTACTTTTTAGTACTGGATTTGGACGTTATCAAAATTGGCACCATTACCGGGGAATAATTTGGCATATTTAGGTTGTTTGAGAAATAAGCGTAAATGCTTTGGTCCAAACTTGTGAATATTTTGTATAATTATCTTTCTTAGCTTGGTCTATTTTTCTTGTTTGTTTCTTGTTTATTTTTTTAGTTTTTGAAAAATGGCATCATATAATAAAAATTGATTGGATGGTAGTTGTTCATACTTCGATGATCCTTCTCCTTATTGTGGAGGACCACACTCGTGGCAAAATTGTTTAAATTCTCCCAGGATCGGATTGTGCGCACAATATCAAACCCATGAGTGGAGTATTTGTGATAAGTGTGGTGGTCAAAATGGTTACTGGGATAATTGTGCTTATTTATCCTTCCCTTCCCCAATCCCCTGCTATGATGATTCTACTTTTTGTGATGAAATTTATAGGGATATGGAGGTGGAAGATATTGAGCATGGTCAAAATAGAGAGTTCAAGCTCATATTAGAATGCTTAATTGAATGAGTAAACACAGAGCAAAGTGCTTTGGGGGAGCTTTTGGAAAATAGCCTCCAAAATAATTTGGCGCTTGAAAGGTTGCACTCACAAATGGGAAAAATGCTTGAAGCTTTAGAGCTCCAAAAAGCCTCGGAACAGAATGATAACCAAGAATCTTCTTTAGAGGTTGAAGCCGAAAATTCTTCTTTGGCACTTGACCAAAACCAAGAAGAACTCTCAAATGCTCAAAATGAGAAGATGATGCTCATGTTGGAGGCCATTCTTGAAAATGAGGAGAAGCACAACTTTGCACTCGAGGACTTGAAGCAAGTCTTGACTCAAAATGATGAGGATATCCGGACTTTGGAAGGTCAAATAAAAATATTGGTTGAGGCTCACTATGCCCACCAACTTGAGAGTGTGGAAAGAAGTTAAGAAATGTCCGATTTCGAGGAAGAAAGTGAGCTTTATTTTGAGGAATCAAGAATTGGAACATCCGCCAACCGACTCCATACTTGTTAGTGATGCCGAGAAAAATATGGAATTAGAGTCAACTAGTGTAACTGGAAATATGGTTCAGATTGACTCTAGTCCGGGGGAAAAAAGGATGTCAAAATCCGGGAGGAATTGCAATTTGGAGGGTTGATGTCATATTCCAAGCATTTTTCAACATTGGAATTATATGATAATATGGGAATTGAACTACATGAGTCAATGAGGGATTGCGAGGAGGAAAGACAAATGACATACATCTTACAATTTGAGGGAACAAGAAGGCAAAATGACATTCCTCATATGAAAGCCAAGAAATGCAAGATGAAGAAATTAAAGTTTGGTTCGATCATCAACTTACCACCCCCCATTGCTCGTGGTCACAAGTTTGATTCCAAGTTAGGTGCCTAATTCATATCGTCCATGTGGCGAGAAAAGTGGTAAAGTTGATCCGCGTCGTGCCACGACGTTAAATGCGACACTTGGTGGGAGGCAACCTAACATTTTTAAATTTTTTAGTCATTTTTAATTTTTTTTTAGAATAACTTAGTATATTATTTTTGACTAATCTGCCAAGTTTTAGAATTTTTAGAGTTGTTTTGAGCAGGTTGCATGATCCGGACAGCCTAAAAGCAGTAGTTGAACAAAACTACAAAAAATGCGGTGCTACGCGATGGCGCATGTGAATCCGCATTCGCACAACATTAGGTTTTAGCTACCTCTATGCGGTCACGTAGAAAGTCACACAATCGCGGAAATTTGGGAGCTGTTGCTCTCCGCGATCGCTGTCACACCTCCTTTTTACACCCGAAGGGGTATATAAGGGAGTTTTTCCAATTAAATGACATAATTCGAAATGAAATTATTTTATTTATTTCAGAGTTGCCACTTGAAATAGTTTATTTGGTGTCCCAAGTCACCGGTTTATTGTAAATCCCAAATTGAGGAAAATTTAACTCAGTTTAAAGTCTGCAAAACCAGAAGACCGGGTAAGGAATTCTATTAACCCAGGAGAAGGTGTTAGGCATTCCCGGGTTCCGTGGTTCTAGCACGGTCGCTTAACTATTAATAATTGACCTAATTATCTGATTAATTACATATTTTAAACCTATTGTGTGTTTTTAACTTTATAACCGCTTTTAATAATTTTTAAAACCGTTTTTAGGATTTATGGATTTATTTCTTGAA